TTTGTTATTTTTATTTTTATGGTTATTTTTTTTTTGATAACAATAGCCAGGACCGGCTCAAAATTGAATTAAACTTTGAAGGGCTATAACTCGCTTATTTTTGAGTTTTGATAAAAAAGTTACATAAAATATTTATTTGTGTATCTGATTTCTACACGCTGTTAAAAGGAACGCGTCAACTTAAAACTCACCCTGTATATTAAAAGTACATTGTTTTATGGTTAAAACAAAATATTAATAAATAAAAAAGTTTGGTAATATTTTATGCAAACCGGTCAACATGGCCTCGCCTAATTTCTCAGGGTTTAAATAAAAAAATATTATTGTGATTTTAGTTCATACCAAGCATTGATCTTCAAATCCTAAAACTTTCAGTTTAATCTGAGATGTCGAGGTTTTGTCATTAGGTGAAATTTCATGGAATGACTCATATGTAAAATAAGTTTATTATAAAAGTTATGTTCAGCTTTAAAAAAGGTACCTATGTTTTTCTATTACAAAAGAGGTCAGGCTTTTAGGGCAAAATATCCGGCCTAAAGTATCATTAAAAACTAAAAAAAAAACATAAAAAGTAAATAAGTAACAATACCTATAAATTGTTAATTTGTTGTTATAATGAGATGATAGAGTCCTACTTATAATAATAATAATATTCTTTATTGTATATAAATTAATGTTACATACAAATGGAGAACGGTTAGGTTTCCCTTTCTTCCACCGCCTCCGAAATTATAATAGTTAACAATTGCAAAACTTTTTAAAGTACTATTTAACTATAGAATAAACAACACTTACGCTGTAATTAAACAAAATTGAGTTTTTTAGAAAATTAAATATAAAGAGAAAGCTATACAATACTAAATATAAAGAAATTAAAGATATACGAGAATAAATTGTATTGTACCAACAAAAAGAAAAATATTATACAATTAGATAAATAAATAAACAAGGACCTATTGTATAAATGTGTAAATAAAAAGTTTTAGCAAAAAGTAAAAAGCTTTTTTCAGACAATTTAATGTTCAAAAGTTCAAATAGTTTTGACGCGACAAATACAAATGACCCCTCGAATTTAATACAATTGTGATTTGGAATATTAAAAGAGTTAGTTATAGTATTTATCTCATGTATGTCAGATCGACGTGTCAATACTTCAACAAAAACAGTGATTATCACTGGAGATGGGATTTTAGGTTGCCAAATTTATAAAAATAGGTAAAGTTTTTTCTTGTTTTAGGTGTGAAAATTCTTAAATTAGGTACGTACTATACAAAAATATGTACAGGAAAACAACTTTTAGGTGGTAAAATAATGTAATTAATTATTGTATAAAATTCTTTTGAACAAGATTTTTATGATTTAAAAATAACTGACGAATATATCTTGTAAAAATATTATAATTTCATAATAAATTTTATAATTCTTTAATGCGGTGGCATATTCAAAATACCTTTGTTAATAAGCATACAATTTGAAAATAAAAAATCACATTTATTATGATATAAATGTTAAAAAAAATACTTTCTCATACAAAAGCTTGAATTTGTAAAAAATCGTGAGATTTTTTAACATAAGATTGATTGGGAAAACTTGAGATTTCATGCAGAAGCATGAGACCCAGCAACACTGCACAGGAATGTCACATTCGCGTCGCTGTTCGCGATTTCCAGTACTACCCACTTCTAACCAACCCACATTACCAATCCTGTACAAAAATAACTACATGGTGCATAAGAATTATGTCATCCGAATACGACAACCCCGCTATTACAAAAAAAAATTGGTTCATTTCTGTTAAAAATAAGAATTTAGGTAAAATAGATAAAATTACACTAGTTTAGGTAATAACATTAAAAATTAGTTCCATTTCTCTTGAAAATGAAAATTTAGGTAAAATAGATAAAATAAAATTAGGCTCAAATGAAATCATTTTCTTTAACACGGTTTTTATTCCATTGCAGTTATGATTAACGTAGACAAATAGGTAATAACACTAAAATCCCATCTCTAATTGGACGGCTTTCTGCAGAATGGGACCAACCCACACCATGATGAAACTGAGAAAAAAGCTATCAAAGATTTTAATAATTTTAAAATTACCTGTTAATTTTATGCCGATTTTGGACTTAAGGAGGTTTAAGGGATATAATTTAATAATTTCATCAGGTGGATTTTGTGATGTTATGTGTAAGGGTGACGAAAAAAATGGGCTTTTGTTGGTTGGTTCCTTTCTGCAATTTATGAAAACTACTATCTGATGTATGTATGTATATCGATGGTTATTTGACAAAACATCGTAAGCGACAATTTTGTTGAATTACTTTTTATTTTATCAAAGTGTCAGTTACGATAAGCTGCACATGTTAACATAATAGTTATTCTAATTTTGGAATCTAATATTGGTCAGTTTGAATTTTTTATTATTGTAAGCGCCTCTTCTTTTTAATTTGTTACCGATTTATAACGTAAGCGCCTATATGTTCCCGACAAACAATCGTAAGCAATTCCGAGACATGGCGTTTGCGATTTAACATTGTGTCGCTTACGATAATATTGTGCTCCCTCCTTGATCTATCAAGGCGTTATTCCCGCTCTAAACAGTTTATTTGTGAGTATACCTGCATCGTGGTGATTGCTACCACAATCCACAATGTGGATTGTGATTGCTACCAAGTTTTAAAACAATATTTTATTTGATCAAAAGCTTATAATTCCTTTTTATCATTGCAATATTAATAGTTATCCTAATTATAATTGTTTTTACGTAGTGTGGTTCGTTAAAAGTGGTTTTTTGTAGTAATTGTATGTTGTTATAACGTCAAATAATTTGACTCAAATTTATAACGGGTCAATGACGGCCAAAAAATTTCGAACGACCTGTCATTCAGTTGATTTTAAAATGTAAAACTGCCTTTAGTGACAACTAACCTTACTTTCTGAAAGTTGTCAGTTTGACGTATTTCATTGTTGATTGTGTTGTTTTAAGATTAGATTCTCTGTCTACTTTTTGAAACTGCTTGTCATCTTGTCAAAAATGTCCCTAAGGGTTGGTTTGCACAGACATTTTTTTAAATGACAGAAGTTTAATGTTCGAAAATGTAACTTAAGCGACAAGACTAATTTTACATTTTCCTAAAGATGTTCTTATAAAATATCGTATGCCACAAAATTTAATGAAAATTTTAGATTGGATTCGATCTAACTTAAATATTTGAATTCTACATTAATAAAATAATGCCTCACCAGTTTTCAGATAAATAACTTTAAAAATAAAGCTCCCACACAAAAAAAATATCTCCTGTAAAATTTAGGTTTTGTCGCTTACGATATTTTGTCAAATAACCATCGATATATTTAAAGAAAAGCGACAATTATTTATTTCCAAACAAAATACAACTGATATTACTATTATAATGGTAATATGAATTGATTTTGATTCTATTTGAAATTCGTCCACATCATCTTCCAACCCCACCTCATCTTGTAAGCTACCAAAAAAATGTATCAAGACTCTTTATTTTGAAGAAGCAGGAAATCTTTAAAGACTTTGGTAGTGGGTCTACCAGCCTGCTTTTTTACAAAAAAGATCCAACCCACTTGCAGATATTCTACAGATTCTAATTCTGGATTAGTAATCCACACTATTATTGAATGTTGGTTGGTTCAATGATTAATATTAATTAATTAATAGATTTTGGCTATGACCTATTTTACAGATAAATTATACATACTTAATTAGTTCATAGGCTAAATATTTCGATTTTTTTGGTTTTGTGGGTTGGTTCCTTTCTGCAGAAAGGCGTCCAATTATCACTCCTACCACAGTAGAAAAGCCAGTGAAATTCGTATGCTTTACTCTAGGTTAAAGCTAGGCGCTTTTATGGGAAGTAAGTGCATTAATAAAATAAGGACAATAATTCCAATTGTAGATAACCTAGGAAATTCTTATATATACATAGTTTTTATTTACTAGCTGAATTTTTTTATTATTAAGTGTATAGGTTGTTCTTCTATTTATTTAGTTAGATAGATAGATAGATAGATAGTTTATTGATCCAAAGTGTACTATAAGCTTATGTTCTGTGCTCTTAAATTTTATGGTGAATAAACTGAATTTGAAATTAAGATCTAAAACTCTCAAATGTTTGTGTTTCTTAAGTTGGCAGGACAAAATTTGAAATGGCAATTGAATAAGTAGGTGAGATTAAAAATGCATTTTTGTGAGAAGATAGAAGTTATTTTATACAATATGATTATTATATTTTATAACGTAGTTGAAATATTCTCAGAAAAATGCATTTTGACATATAAAACTGATTTTATAAAATAATTTGTCAAAATTTTAACTTTTAGACTTGTACTGTTCTTAATCTCACCGATTCAATTTTAAAAAGTGCTAACAAATTGTTTTTTGAGATTTCCATAAAAAAATATATTATAATAATCAATGTTTATGCCATTAACATAATCCAGTTGATGCCCCACAAAATCATATATTAAATTTTGAAGACATTCTATGGAAACTCTTCAAAGGGTGATACTACATTAAATAATTAGTTTTGTGACTGATTAAAGGGGCCAAAAAGGTACCATCATACTAAATTTCATTACCTTAACTGCTATATACTGCCCTACTATGGAGAAAGGCAGTAACTGCAAAAAAATGTAAAATGCGTTTTATTGTGCTATGGTAAAGCTATGGACATTTTGTAACCGAATTCAACACAAAAATGCAAATATCTCATAAGTTATAAAAATTAATTAAATACCTACTGCTTTTTATAAAAATGTAGTTTACGCTAATTTTTCACAAATTTCTTGTTTAGCAGTTTCTGCCTTTCTCCATAGTTGGGCAGTATAGCTTTTGAGATACAAAAGGGTACACAAGTTTAAATTTTCATTAGTATCTTAGAAATGTAAAATTTAAGTATGTTTCCAGTCTTAAGTATGATGACAAATTGTTAAAAACAATCATAAAATTTTACTATTGTAGAACTTACCCTTGTCCTGTGGTGTTTATCCCTAGAACTGTGAATTGGAGGCTCCAGTATTTCCCCATTTTGATGCGAAATTACTTTTCTTTCAGCTAAAATATGAAATTATCAAAAAAAAAATAAAAAAATAAAAATATAAATACCTTTATCTTCATCACGTCTTCGTTTCATCTCTGCTATTTGTTGGGCCTCTTCTGCTCTATCCTGAAAAAAAAAATAGTTAGGATATATACATATACAGGGTGTCATCGTACCCACCCTTTTTCTCCCCAACTTCCTTTCTTGTTTTCGCATCTCCTTCTCTTCTTCGGTGAGTTTTTCGCGTTTTTCTTTAGTTTTTGACGAGCGCTCTTTTTTCTCGGCCTTTTCTATGATGTAGTCGGACAATTGCTGTTGCAATTTTCGATCGTCGTGCTTCGAACTCTGCGGAAAATCGACGAAAAAAGGCAAACATTAGATTCAGCTTCGGCCCCATTCCACGCGAATACGGGTGCTCTCTCGCTCGTACAAGATCAAATTCTCTTACAATCGTTTTTGGTCTACCAAATAAAATCATTTTTTGGACGGGGTCCCCCATGATTTTATTTAATATTTACATTATCAGAAATTACAGTTTCTTTTGTAAATGTAATAAAACATAGAAAAATGTTATACTAAAAATGGCTTTGTTTTTTTTTGTTATCTACATCACCTACCTGGAAGGACTTCTCATCCACATACAACATAGAAAAAAGATATCGGAAGATTGGGCTGATCAACAGTTACTGTCCTCATCATTAATTTTTTATGAAAAAAGTCTTTCAAACATTTATTGCACATAATCTTCTGTTAAATTTAACGCATTTTACGAATGCAGATATAAAAACCATCGGAAATTTTGATTCTTCAATATTTTTAACAGGAATTGCAATCTTCTTCCATATCATATCATCCGATTTTGACGTACAAAATGTTGTATTAAATACATCATAAGAAATTATTTTCCATTAATACTGATCCCATTGATTAACTTTTTGTTTATTTAAATATTATTTGGTTTTAAATCAAAATAGTCCTTTGAACTGCATCTTTTGGTCCATAATCTTATAGGTTCTCCAAATTTGGTAAACATTTCTTGTTTTTTCCATCATCATTTTTTATGTGAAAAAAATATTTTTTCTACATCTATTTTCTTTATTAACTTGAACTTTGAACTGCAATCTATTAAATCAGGTATGCTCCGTAATCTTGTTAGGTCTTCCAAACATTCCATTTTTTCTAATATTAAGTTTTATACAATTTTTAACTCCATTTTTCATTAATCTGAACTTTGGAACCGCAATCTTTCAAATCAAGTTTTGCCCCATTCTCTTATTAGCTCTTCATATAGACATAATTTCTTATTGTATTTCATCATCAAGTTTTATTAAAAAGATAAGATATTTTTTACATCTATTTTTCTTATACTGAATTTTGGAACTGCAATCCTTCAAATCAAACTTTGTCCTTAATTATATTAGGTCTATTTTTCCAAAATACATTTTTTCTGAATCCATTTTTCCCGAACTCTGTAACTGCAACATTTTAGGATTATCTCCAACAATAGTCACACATCTCGATCTTATACATATCCATTTCCATTTAGAACTGCTATTCTCCAAGTACTATTATTCATTACAATTAAGCTGTATAGTTTTGCAATCAACATTTAGAAAATGAGATAAATCATTTTAATATCTTTTTGTCTCATTTCTTATTAACATTCTTTGTTAGTAATACATATTGTGTTTCAATAGAGTTCTTTAATATTTTCGTTTGTGGTGACATCATCAATTTTTATTATATATAGCCTCAATTATGTTTTGAATTGCTAAAAATATGACGTCAATTTTGGTTGAAATCCATCCTCTTCAGTCTTGAAACCTCCTGCTCCCAAAAAAGTCCATTGGCACTGCACTGACTTTAACGAGACCCAAATGGAAAGTCACTTTTGACTACCGCGCACTATTTTCAACCGCACATTAACACTTTTATTTCTCGTCGCGCGTTTTTACAATTGGTCGAATCGAATAAATATAAATTTCAGCCCAATCTCCCAGCAATCTAAACTACATTCAACGAACGAGTCGGGACCCAACTTTTGTCGACACAATTTTCGGGACCCTGAAATCTGGCACCGATGCTAAGTGACGCCGATACTAACCTTCGATGATGAACTCTCCATTTTTCTTCGTTTTACATCTAAAACACAAAGCAACCCTTGCTCAACTGTCATCTAACTGTCATTATTTGACCGATAAATGACATTTATGGCCTACTACTAACTAACCTCTATCGGCTTCGGGTTCCTGGCTGTGCCTTCCGACATTGCCGTTTCCGCCGCCGCCCCCCATCGTGATTTCGCGTTCGTCGCGTGTTTCTCGGCTGCCGCCCCCACCGCCGAAATAATGACCGCCGCCCCCTCTCTCATCGTAGTAACGATCGGAAGACTGTCGCTCGGAGGAGTAGCGCAACTCCTCCTTGGGGCTCACCATCTCTATGTATCTTTCCTCCTATAGAACAAAAAATAGTGTTACATTTAAGTTTAGTTAACCATTTGAAGAGTTTCTATAGTCTTCAAAATTAAATATTTGATTTTTTGAGGCATCAGCACAAGCACATTCACAATTAATTTTAGATTTTTTTACAGCAGATTCCAAAAAAATAATTTTTAAAGTTACATTTGTTTTCATAGCCATTTTTTTTATTTTGTATTTAACATTAATTTTAAGCTATAAACATGTTCTTATTTTGTTTATCAAGTTTGGAAACAACATCAACAAATTAACAATTTATAATGTATATTAAAGTTCATTTTTTTATATCTGGACTACGGCAACGTTGCAAAAGCGAAAGCAATAGTTCCGTAATTTACTGCCAGTACTGTCGGTTATTTGCTGTAAGTAGCGAAAAGGACTGTTTCGTAATTTATCCAATATTGACGAAACAGTGAATTTGGAACGCACCCCAGTAGCAGCAGAAAGTGACAATGGCTACGCAAGCGCAATCTCTGCATTTGACTAACCTTACTTTCGGCAGCAGCAGCAATGTTGCCAGACGTACAATAAAAATAATTATCGTATAAGTACTGTAATTTGAACCTTCGTACGATAAACGATACAGACTAGTTATACATTATTACAATTATTAAAAGTAGTGTGTTAGATAGATCTGACAAAATTCGACTTTTTTTGATTGGTCCAAAGTATAAAATAATGATTTTTTTACAGCTGGTTGGTAAAAATCATTTGACTAGGCTCATAATCAATCACTTTAGTCATGAGTGTTGACAATAATAAAGTTTAAATTGTAAACCAATTGAAAATGAATATTTTTAACTTTATTCTTTTAATATAAAGTAGTACTGTGCTTTTGTTCTTCAAAAAATTATAACTTTTTTTTTTCATTTCATTTCATTTACCGTTTTTCCATACCGTACGATATCATTCAAAAACGATAATTTTGGATCGCTGGTACCATAATTTTACATTCAACATCTGGCAACAGCAGTAGGAAAAATATAAAAAATTAAATTTTATAAACTGTTTTCGACGCGGACGACAATAATAGGGAATATTTTGATTAATATTGTAACGTTTTTACTGTTCGTACTGTGAATAAAAACACTCACTTGTTTATTAACGAACTAAACGATTTATTTCATAACTTAATTACACTTAATACACTATAAAACTAATCAAACTACTAATTATTTATATATCCCTATTGTACAAGAGTCTATTTATTAGCACGTATATTTATTTTATTTCGTCGCGAGTACCAAAGCTTGACTGACTCTACAACGCTTCGCTCTGCCTTATATATTCAATGATTACAAGCAAGCAAGCGCCTTCCCGAATATTCCAGCGAGCTCCGTACCGCTCTCGATCGTTCGAGCGCTGACTCACCGGCGATGACTCATCGGCGATGAGTTACCATTCCGAGATCCAGAGATGTACTCGCTACAATATTTCATCAATATTTAATGAAATAATTATTCTCAGCTCTTTACCTAATACATCTGCCGTACATTTATAAAAGGGTAGTACTTACTACTGAGCTCAGTAACTGAAAGTGGATTTTTGTTGTTTTCAGTACCTACCGTACTGGCAGTAAATTACGGAACAAAACCATGGTCATTATTGTATTGTTGATATTTAAAGAATCACACACGGAAAACCAAATTATGATGTTTGCGTCCACCATTCTACCAACCAAAAAATTTATTTTATTTTATAACATTTGATTTAAAAACAGCCAATTTCCTAACTAATTTTATAATTATTTTTTATTTATAACTAATTTTATAATTATTTTTTATTTTAATACAAAAGGCAATATACATTAGGGTGAGCCAAAAAAACTAACCTATCGGATTTATGGGTTAAAATGAACCTACATACCGAGCAAAAAATCCCTAAAACTGCAGTTTTAGTGATTTTTTACACTTTTCAAAGCTTTCAAACATACGAATTTTTGAATTAAAAAAATAATCCTGGTATAGATTCTTTGGGAAATTTTATGCTCTACAAGAATCCGCGACGTAAAAAAATTTATCTCAAACGGTTCAAAAGTTATAGTCTTTTTAATGAAAAAAGATTTTTTTACGTGTTATTTCAATGGAAAACTTCGAATGCTCACTGACACCTTTTAAAATTGAGCAAAAAATTTTGCCTTGCAGGGAAATTTTTTTCTCGGTATGTAGGTTCATTTTAACCCATAAATCCGATAGGTTAGTTTTTTTGGCTCACCCTAATATACATGTTTGTTAACATTCACAACACAGTTTAGCAATAATAAACTCTAGCAACTTTAAAATTTTTTTACTCAGAAACCAGACAGTTAATCTTTCTAAGACTTTGTACATGTCTTTTAAGTAGACTTTACTACAACCTGAAATTTTTTAACATTTTCTCATAGCGACTAATGGGCGATTCCATGATTACTAACGGGACCAACAGAAAGAAAACAAAATGTTTTATGAAGATTTTTGAAGATGTGTTGTTCCTATAATAATAATTTTATGATAGTTCTCAGCAATAAAATTAAGTAATAATAACTATCATTAAATTATTGCTATAAGAACAATATATCTTCAAAAATATTCATACAATATTTTGTCTTCTTTCTTTTTGTTCTGTTAGTAATCATGGAATTGCCCTAATATCGTGCCTGAACTAGGGTTTTAATTTAAAACTTTTAAACTGAAAAAATTGGCTTTTTTGAAATTTTAATTAAAGTACCTACCAATTAAAAACTTAAACATTATTTTAATTTAAAAAAATATTCTCCATTGCAAAAAAAAGAAATAAAACATTGAATTAAATTTAAAAAAATAAACGTAAACGTTAAATTTAATTTCGGATGGGTCCTTTTTGGAAAAGGGAGTCCATTCAAAATATCCAATTACTAATAATGAATGATTAATAAATTTAAATTACAAAATTATATTTTATAAATCGATGTGTCAAATAAAACGATAGTTATGTTAAAAAATATTTTCGACGTCTCAATTTTTTCGGAAATTTTAAAACCTTAGCTCGAACTTCCTTAAGGTAGTATCTCCATTTAAAGAATTTGATAAATAAATAACAGTAGGTTGTGACAGCAACTTCAGCGGTGCCAATGAGGTGGAAAATAAAACGTATTTTATTTAACAAATTAATGCTTCATTACAAATTAAAGTATCATTAAAAACTAAAAACAACATAAAAAGTAAATAAGCAAAATGTAGGCTTAAAACAGTACATTTTTTGTATTTCTTAAATTGGCAGCACAAAATCTTAAATGACAATTTTAAAAAGTTCTAAAAAAAATTGTTTTTTGAGATTTTCATACAAATTTTACTCTAAAAATCAATTTTCAAGCCATCAACATGATCCTCTTTGGTTGCTCGAGTTTAAAAAGTAATTTATGGAAAATATCCCTTGGGTAGAAGTGTTATTTTTCTACCCCTATTACGGAATTTGACCGTTCTATTATCACTTTTATCTATGGAATGACATATATTCCGTAGTGTTACAGAATGAAATATTCTATCATCCTATGACAGAATAAACACTCGTGGCGACATCTCTGTTTTTAATATCTAACAAATTTTAGACCGATCCAACCTCATTTTCTTCCAATCATAATATGACTTTTCTATGGTATTTTTTGGAAACGTAGAAAAAGTATAGTCTGAAACACGTTTGGAATTGCATATTTCGCTCTCGTGAAACCGTCAAACTCGCCTTCGGCTCGTGTGACAAACTCTTCACTCGAGCGGAATATGCTGTATTCCAAACTTGTTACAGAATATACTATTCTCACAGATTTCCCATAGAATAATGTTCATAGCTTAAAAATTGATTATTTACTAATATTTAGTTTATTTTTATGGAAATCTCATGAGCAAGCTCGTGAGATACAAAATAAATAAAAAATTATTTCTTAATTTATGTATCTTAAATTAGTATCTCAAAAAAGAACCAACCGACTTTAAAAACTTAAACACTAATAGAAAAATAAATTGTCCCCCTGAAATCAAGAATCGACATGTGCGAGTGTTTTTTGTTTTTTTTACGTAACACCTGAGAAAACCGGAGTGGAAACTTTCCATTGGATCACCCTGCATAATCTTATTACAATGTTAGGTAGACTTTTTTATAAACTCAATCAATCAATTTACGGCAGAGCACCTTGTTCGCTTTTAAAATATTCTCTTTGTTTATTTTATTTTAACTTTAAAATAAACATATGATTTAAAAACATGTTTAGTTTTAGCGACTATTTGTTATTCATAGACTATAAGTTATAGTTATACCATTATCGACTAAACCTATAGTTATAGTTAAAATCTTAATTTGAGATTTGCCGCCTAGAAAACCAACTTGTAAAGTCGGTAAAAAGGTTGCTTTCTAAAAATTCCTACTCAGCTGACTGTGGATTAGCTGAAGAATCTAATTGATTCTTAAATTTAGCTTTTCTTTGATTTGTTGAATAATTATTAGAATAAGAATTTTAATGTAAATATACATTTTTGTCAAAATAAAAAAATATTTGCTTCTACATACTGTGTATCTTTTTAAATAATTCTTGCATAAATAACTACGTTATATTACGAACACAAATAAATAATAAAAAAAAGGAAATTTATTTATAAATATCCCAATTTTGATATATATCAATGAATATGCGATATTTGGATATTTATAAAAATATCATGTTATTTACAAAACCTGAAGTAATGTAATTACTTACTCTATATTGCCTGTCTTCTTTTACGGCCGCTTTTTCTTCTTTGCGTTCGCGACGTTTATCCCTTTCCCTTTCCTTATCAAAATCGTCACGTTTGTCGTCTTTTCTATATTTATCCTTTGATTCATCTTTGTACGATTTTTCTCTATCTTTGCCACTCCTACAAAACAAAATATGATTAAATATGCAGTTATTTGAGTAAATAAATTACTTACTGTGAGTAATCCTGAGAACTTTGGTTCTTTTGGCTCTTTGAACTGTCGTCGGATCGCGATTTTTTCTCGCTCTTCTCTTTTGGTTCCTTGTCTTCTAAAAAACATTTTTTTGTTATTGAAATCTTACTAAAATTTCACTGAATAATCACCTTTTACGTCTCCGTTATGTTTGCTGTTTGACTCGCCCTTTGAATCGTGATTCTTTTGAGCCTAAAAGTTACAGTATGCAGTATGATTTAAAATGTTAAAACGATACATTGCCATAAAGTGACTGTTGTAAGTCACTTCCCGACCTTGTACTATTTAGGATTTTCAAATCATTTTTAAAAAATGGTAATTGCACTTACGCGTTCTTTTTCCACTGGAATATGAAACTCGCCCTCTTTCATCATATGGCCGCCGGACATGCGTTGTTTCAGCAATCCTAAATAACTACTGGACAAGGTAAACAAATCTTGTCTCGTGTTTTTCTCCTCGTCCCTGACTTTTTCGATCCTCTTTTCGATAAACTGGCTCAACTTCACCAAGACGGGGAAAAACGGTATAATCTTGATGAGAATAATCAATGAGTTCCTGATTTGCACGTAATCCTTGGACTCAAGACAAGTGACCATCGCCTTGGCGAGCTTGTAGTGCCACTTGTGGCACACGTGCCGGTAGTTTTCGTAACCGACGTTGTCCAAGTTGTCGGCGTGCTGGTTGCTGACGCGGTACTTTGTCACAAAACCCGGATAGTTGGCGCACTCGCGCTCAAACACCTCTTTGCTGCGGTGCCATCTGGTGACCGTTTCCAGCATCGCGTACAGGAAGCGGCCGTAACGCATCGCCTCGTTCTCCGTGCACGAGGTTATCGAGTAGGTCACGTCGCAAAACAGCTGAAATAAGATTTTTTTTCGGTTCTGTGATTGTTTACTGGCGGCTTGTGAATTATAGCACTCCGTTTTTTGCGTAAATATCGTTTTCTAGCGGTCATACTTTTTTGTAATTATAAAAATTGTTAAGCAGGCAACTTCCTACAAAAAATGTCGTATACATTTTTCACCTAGGACAAACTGTTCTTGCCCTAAACAGCTTTTCTTTTCGAGTTAATATTTTTTGCGATATTTCTTAAAACGTACGTCAAAAATGTATAAAATCTTTTTTGTTAAAAATTGCCTATATTTTTTCTAGGGTTGTTTAATTTTTTTTGTTTATTTCGGATTTTTTATTAAAACAAGAAACCCCGCTAAAGTCTAAAGTTTCGTTGACTTTTACTAGACTAGACAAATTAAATGTTGACCTAATTTGTAATGAGTTCACATAGACTTTGTACTAAATAAGTGTGGTATAATTTAACCTTTTTTTTAATTTAAGTTCAACAACAGACAAAAATTATTTATTATTTATTTAAAATAATCAATATAAGGTTATAAAATATATCAAATAATCAAGCAAATAATTCAAATTTATTAACTATTGTATACACGAAATAAACTACGTTTTCTCTATAAAATTATTATTATTATTATCATTATCACTTTAACAAAACTTTTCTGTTCCCAATTTGTTTTGTATTTGCTGTGCTCAAGAATAATGGAAGAAAAATTTAGTTCAAGCTTGCCGAAGATGCGAACTTGATAATATTAAATTCTTCTTTAGAGACACAACTTTTTAAATTATACCACCAATCTGTTTTTTTCAGTACCTCTTCAGAAAGGAGAGGCCCATTAAATGGTGCCGCTCTGGAATACAATTTTATCATGGTTTCCATTAAATTAAAACAAAAAATCTTTCTTGAAAAGCATATCCTGAGGCATAAATGCCAAAAAATGAGCTGGTGTCATAGCCTGTTCGTATCTTTAATGACCTTTTTTTAAGCTTAAAAATCGCTCTCAGGGAGTTTATATTTGAGATTCTTTCATATTGAGAAATATTCAGTCAAGACACACTTGTTTTTTATCAAGAGCATTTCTGGTTTCAGTTTCAGGTTTTAAAACCACATTTTGTACTTTTGCAGTACGTCACGTTTTAAGGCGTTTGGAATGGACAAATTATTTTAGTTTAGTTTTACAAAAAGTATTCTCACCATGTGGTAGGCATAAAACATTTTAAGAAAATTCCAGTGTCAATAGTCATTCTTTAAATTGATCTTTTTTAACTTTCAATCACTTGTAAAACAACCATTAATGCACATGTTCAGCCTTTCCTTTAAAAACATAAGTTTTCTACAAATTAGTTAAAGGTTTTTTTATTTTATCCTGATTACATAACGTATTTTTGATTTTAATCATGATTTAAATAAAAAAATTAATTGATATAAATCGCGATTTAAATCAATAATTTAAATACCTAATTTAATTTAAATCATAACAACCCTGATTTGTTCTAATTAGGAACCTAAAATATCTTCCTATGACTAGATAAGAATATTTTCAAAAATAACATAGGATGTCACCAAAACAAAACATTTGTGTGAATGAAAAATTTTAACTTTACTGGACTATTTAAAAGAGATATGTATAAATCTTAGCCAGTTTGCTAAAATTTAATTTTATTTCATATTTTTTTTGTAATTTCTTGAATGTTTATAAAGTTTTTAACTTTATAAAAACTTCCTATCCTATAAGGAACAATGTCAACTAACTGTCAAAATTGAAATTTAAACAACTTAAAAACACACTTACCCTGTCATAGCACAATAGAGTGGAAAAGTTGGGAGTTTTGAGCATGTGAATGATTTGAACGAACTTGGCGCAGTAAAGGGCGTCGATTTGCGTGAATGTGCAACGCGGAAACAAGCACAGTTGCAGGAACCGGGTGATGGTTTCGTTTTTGGCGGATTTCTGCGCACGCATCAAAAACCACTCGTCCTTTTCCTGCTTCAGCCTGTGCATTATCTTGTCCACGTGCTCCGTTTGCTTCTTTTTTTCGTCTTGCAATTTTTCGATCAGGGTGGTGAAGCGTTCTTGCTCTTTTTTGCCCTTTGTACTGCCTATAAATCCCATTTATTAACAGTTATTTTTTTCTACCACGTAAATTTTTTACCATCACTATTTTAATTTTAATTTTTTTTTCACTTACTTGATTCCATGACTGCAAGTGAAGCGTGTTTGGACTTGCTGATGACCTGAGCGTACGTTTCTTCGGGAACGTAAAGATCATACATGGTTAAGCTCCAAAAAGTGGCCAAAAATTGCGGCGTGATGTCCTCCCAGATTCTTAAAGGGTGTAAGGGGATAAGGGACTTGTGTACCGGTTCCATCACGTCCATTACGGCCTCATAGTACTTTTGGTTTTTTACCGAACTCGACATTTTTTTGTAGTTTGTGTCCGCTTTGCGCAACTGATCGTATTTTTGCTGAAAATTTACCTTGGGTGAGCATGTCCGTTATTTACCAACTGGTTTTTTTCGCAGCGCCTCCTAAATTTTAAATAAAACAATTATCGGACTCATATATTCATATTAAACCCTGCCACATTTCCCATTTAAATAACATGGGGTTTCGGCACGTTTTACATTTATTTTTTCCCCCCTGAGCAAGTTAATATACAGCGATAAGAGACACATTTATAGGAAATTAAACGCTGTAGAAAAAAGCTTTCTTATGATTTTTCGATAAATTCACTGGTTTAAAAGTTATTTAAGGTTAAATTAATTGTTAATTTTTGAAAATATGTGATTTTTATTGTACTATTAAAAAATTAAAAATTATTGAAAAAAGATAAGTGAAAATTATTGACAAGAGATTAATAATTATTAATAATTAAATAATAATAAGTCACTGCTCGTCAATGTAGGAGTAGATAAATGCATTTAACTTATTTGAAAAGGATAATTGGTGTAGCGGAAATGTCTGCATCTCATACTCAAGACAACGTATGCGTAACTACGAATTTATTTTTTCGTAAAAATAATTGTTAAAAGAATTTCTACGTTATTAGCTGTACTGAAGGAAAATGTTTCAAATGTTTTATAAAATCGTATACAATTTTGTAGAATTTCACAGAAATACAAAGATTATGTAATAAAATTGAGTAAAACTAATACCAGATTAGTTTAATGTAAGAAAAACATTTTAATTTATCTGAATCTATTGTCAAAAATATTCACTTACCTATCTCCTTTCAATAATATTTACTTCTTTAATAATACAATAAAAATCACATATTTCCAAAAATAAACAATTCATTTTCATAAAAATAAAGATAATATTGCAGTCAAAGTAAAAAAATCTAAAAAATTAACTTTAACAACTTTAACCTTAAATAACTTTAAACAAGGGAATTTATCGAAAAATTATAAAAATTTTGTACAGAGTTCAATTTGTTATAAAAACATGTGTCTCTGATCGCTCTACATTAACTTGCTCAAGAGGAAAAACATTAAATGTAAAACATGCCGAAACCCCATGTTATTTAAATGGGAAAGGTATTGTCTTTGTGGCAATGTTTAATATGAATATTAAGGGCTTATACAAGTCTGATAAACTTTTTTAGGTCATAAACTAATTTAGGGGGCGCTGCAGAAAAAAAAAACAAGTTGGTAAATAATGAACACCCTAATGCCCATATATAATCTCCACTTACGTTTATGGCATGATTAAACATGGGCCTGGCAAGGAAGAAAGCCACCTCACACGGTATATGATAATCTTGAAGCATACTTTGTATTGTAGGCAACTTATTAACGTATTCATCCACTGAAAGAGTGGAACCCAAAAATGTGCCAAATTGCACCAAAGTGTCCTGACACTGATCAGAAAGTTTTCCCACTAATTTTAAGTGACTTTTCTGTGTCTCCCTGTATACAACACAGTAATTTTGCTGGGCCATTAGTAGGCATAAAGCCACAGCTAAATCTTGCTCGGACATGGCTTCTTTCAGGCGTAAAGATGATTTTTTCGTGTTGCGGACTTGGCTAAAGTAACCCGCCTATAATTTGGGAGAAAAATTGTGTATGAGTAAATAGATTTTGTTTTTTGTAGTTATAGAAAAATGCAAATATTTTTACTCTATATAAAGTTAATTTACCTTATATGTCTTGTCAGTCTGTAAGGTAAATTAAAACAAATTGTAAGTTTTAATGTTTTAATTATTTATATTATTTAAAAGTCAAAACCAAATTGGTGCCGTGACCAGGATTCTTAACGTTAATTTTGTTATGTTTTATGTGTGCTGGTCACCTTACAAATTGGTAAATAGATAAATACCCACATAATTCAAATATTTTTACAAAAACTTACCTCAGCTTTTAAAAGTTCGCCACCGGCCATGGCATTTAACTGTTCTATCGTAAGATCCTCTTGCGCATCTACTCCGGCCATTTTTTGGACGACTTCTTTCAAAATCAACAAATCCAAACTATAAAAAAACAAATAAAACCCGAGCATATAAATCTTTTAAAAAACTTACCTTTTTTGTGCTTTGAGTTGGTTGGCAACGTACTGCAGGAGACCGCTGAGTTCGATGACGTACTTTTTGAAGACGGCGCCGCAAAAGCTCGACAAACTCTGCAGCCACGTGGAAATCGACGTGCTGTCGTGTTTGACGCGCTTCTTGTCGGCGTTTGCGAGAGATTCGATCAGGCAAAAACCCAAAACGTCATACGACAAATTTGTAAGGTATTTCAGGGAATCCACTACAGGATTTATGAGATTGTTGTAGACTTGAATTTGAAGTAAAACGTAGTCGAACAAAAACCCGGGAGAGCAGTGCGTTAGTTTGCCTATGAGGCGACCGACCGGTTTCACGTTTTCTTTACTGACTCGCTTCATTATGTTTTTTATTTGTTTCTCGGAATCCCCGCGTTTTCGCAGCAAATCCGGGTAGATGGAGTACGTTTCGTTCTTCCAGCGACTGTACAGACAATATCGCACCTAAAATTGTACATTTGTATGTAAATGAATATTGTTTTTCATGTTTTTATAATTAAAATCTTACCTGGTATGGATAGAGCTTAAGTAGAGTCCAAATTTCCTCGGCAATGCAACAATTGCACTCCAAATAACTTAGAGAGGGTAAAATAGATACATCAACCAACGTTAAAATGTCATAATACAAAGAATCTTCAGCTGGAGGCCCATGTTTGGGGTTGTCTATTCCATAAGACCCCAAAATCGATTTTGAAAGCCTTACGATTTTGCTGAGAAGAACAGGATCGAACCTTAGAGCAGGCCCAAGAGTTATAAGCATTGGAATCGCTAAATCTCTTAGTTCCAAAAAATTTTGCGCCTGTTTTGGCGCCTTGGAAGATGGATGGGGCTTTTGGGGCTTGCGGTTTATTTTTGGCCCAATTTTACAGTTCCTAATTAAATACATATATTATACCAAAAAATCTCCAAAATACAGTACTGTCAATGGATTTTCAGAAAATTTAATTCTTGATAAAAGTTTTTGCCAGACTGTGATAATAACATTCATTTGTTGGAAAGAACAAAGACAAATGAATATTTTTTTCAATAAAATTTTTAAAATTAACCATAGATAATAAAAATAATGTGTCACATATTCTGGGGGTTTAAAATCAAGCAAATACTTTTATCAAGAATAAAATTTTCTAAGAAATGTATTTTTTTTTCCTATTTATAACCCCATACTATGTATAACTTACTCTCTATATAATTTCTCGATAATATGGCTGAGTAATTTACAAACAGCCACTCCTATAGGCTGATAACTGACGGCGTAATATTCCGGTAACCTTTTCATTAATATTTGCGCCGTATCCCAGTCCCCAACAATTAAAAGAGCCTCGATTAAGCCCAATTTTTGATTTCCTACATGTTTATCTTGCGTACTTTCCACCTCTTCAGGTGCATCTTCTTTATCCTTTTGATTTATCGAGATTATTTGCAATTTACGCACATACTCTTTGGCATCTTTTATGCTTTTTTCATGCTCCTTAAGCATTCCCTTATCTTCTGGAGTCAACTAAATACAAATTTATGTAATAATATGTTATACAATAATTATTCTTTCACATATAATTTATAATTAATAAATATAAGTTTAATTGTGAAAATAAAATGTTTTAAAGCCAAACTGAAAAATATTAATTATTATTAATAGTCCGAATTTCATCCAAAAATTTTACAGCGAAAAAGTATAAAAAAAATCCTAAGAACATGGGGTCACAAATGCTTTATAAAGGAGCCATGCCCCTTTAAAGATTGCACTCGACTAAACTGTAGGTTTAAGACATTTTAAACAAAGGGATCTTTTTTGTGTGAAATTAAATGAAAACTTTTAAAATGGAATCAAAATACCCAATAACGTAAGTCAAAATAGGGGGGTCATGGGGAATTGGGTCCCCCCTGATAATGTCAATATTGGGTTATAAAATGCGTGTTATTATTCTAAAGTTAAAGTACACCTAAAACAAAAAATATGTTGAGTGCCATCTTTAAAGGGGCTTAGCTCCCTTATACATAAAGCATTTTTGATACCATGATCATGGGAACTTTTTTCCTATTTTGCACTGTAGAATTACCCCTTAAAAATTTAATAAAAATAAAAATCTTGTGGAGAGAAATTTATTTAAAACTGTGATAAAATTATGTTTTCTTTACTTACCCAGCAATAAATATCATCAATAGATATGAGTTTGTGTTGCAACAGCTGTGCAGTTAAAATGTATAGAGATTGTGGAATAGCCAATTCATTGCTTTTTAAAAAGGAGAACTTCGTTGATAACACTTCACTTATGATTTTGGGATCATTCATGTAAGACTGAATTAACGGAATAAACAATGCCGAATCTTTGGGTTTGTTTTCAAAACTCTCTAAAATAACATCCAAAACTCTGTTTGGGTCTAAATTAAAACAACCTACAATAAAATTTTACTTAGATTTTCCTGAATTTTTAAGAATATTAAAAGTTACCAATTAATGATTGCACAATATCAAGTAGAGAATTGTGGTCAGTGGTTTCACTGAATTCTTTATTTAATTCAGTTAATATCTTTGCAAAACCTTCACATTCTTCTCTAAACAAGTTAAATTTTCTTTGCTTATAACTAAAAATAAGAAAATTCTTAATGAAACATTGTGTAAAATAAAAAATATTAAAAATTGTCAGCAAATCTCAAATTCTCAAAAAATCATAATCAATTTTTAGGAAAGTCTCATTTGCTATTTCTCTGGGCACATTTAAGAAACCAAATCTATTACTTACAATCAAATTAAATATAAAAAACATGCCATTATTATAAAAATAGAAGTACTTACTATAGTTTTGTTTTAACTTTAATAAACTTAGAATAAAAAGTCCTATTTTTAAGGATTCCAACTTCTTGTAAAGTCTCAATTTCCAGCCGTTCTTTTAACAACTTATCTGATACAAATTTTTCACATTCTTTGACAATGGAACAAAAATTGGCTCGTTCCTTTGAATCCTCACTATCAGTAGTTGAAGTAAGAGCATCTTGTATATTTAAAACATCCAAAATTAATGAAGGAATGTCGGTGTGTAAGGACTAGAAGATAAGACTTTTGTATGACTTAATGTGGTTGTTTTCATTTACTTACGACTAGTTCCTGAAGAGCTGAAACAACTTGTTCCTTTCTAAGAACACCCTTAATGCCTTTATCAATAACAGTGTTCAAATGGGAGGATATGTTGGTAATTTTACCTTTTCCATCGAAAACCGGAGTTTTTGTGTCATTTTTAAGCAACTGAACACATGCTTTAGTGCTGAAAATACAAAATATAAACATTAAAAACATAATCTAAACGGGACTATCTACTTTAAATAAATCCAACTCAATCGTATATTTAAAAAAAATACTTTTTAGCACAAATACCGTAATTATTTCATAAATAAATCAAAACACCAAAAATTCAAACAAATACATGCTTTGGACACTAGACAACCTTGAATTACTTAAACTACGACGTTTTACGCAAAAAAATAGGATTCATATCACAACCAAAACATTCTTCAATAAATTAAACACAACTTACAATTCCTGTTTTCCCGTTTTATCCCAATTTTTCCATAAATCATTACTAAAAACCACAGCCATTTTCATTCATAACGCCGTTTCTTTTACAATGACAGATAAACTAAAATTGCCGGTAAAACAGGAAACTCAACACCAACCGCGCCATCTATGCAACCCTACACAAACTAAATTTAAACAAAGTAATCTACACATGTAAATCACCGTCTTTTATAAAAGACCATGGTTTTTCCATCCACACAACAGTTTTTCCATTTTCTTAATCAATTGTTTTTTAATGTATAAGTCCGTGATGTAACTTTATTTATGGTAAAGTAGATTTTGTACTTAAATAAGGTGTAAGTTGGCAGTAAACATAGAAAACCCCGAAGGGCAGTAAAACAGAAAACTGCAATGCATTTATCTAATCTATGCTGCAATGTCAGTGTTAAGAAACATAACCTCTTTTATAATCTGTGCATAACCTCATTGTTTGAATTTTCGTAAAAATCATGGAAACAATGAGTCAAATAAAGAAAATCGAGAGGAAAGTGAAAAAGTTACAGCATGTAGTGTTGAAGGAAACTGGCGTGACGTGCGTTGCGCACCCCACGAAGGTAATCATTGGGCGTGTTAGTCGAAATTTGTTAAAAAATCCGATGTAGATTTTAGCGATATGCAACGCAGGGCTTGTCAACGGTTTAACGGAGGAAATTATCGTCGAGAATTTCAAGAAATACGGAAATGTCAATAAGGTTTGCTTGGTGCCCGGTAAATCGTGCTCATTTGTGAGTTACAGAGATTTGGAGTCAGCTACGATGGCCTACAATTGTTTCAATGGTAAATTAAATATAGCCCAGGAAAATAAGCCTGTGTATTTGTCGTTTGTGGAGAATTTGGTGGATTTTGAGGAGGAGAAATCATGGAGTATTTTACCTGAAGGTTTGGTTGTTTTGGAAGATTTTATTAGTGAAAAAGATGAGGAAACCTTATTGGAATTGTGCAACTTTGATGAGTCCTGTGGAAGCATGAAAAATAGGCAGGTTAAGCATTATGGGTATGAATTTAGATACGATATTAACAATGTTGATAAAGATAAACCTTTGAAGGAAAAAATACCCATGGAATGTGATTTTTTATGGACAAAATTAAATGAAACATATTTCAAAGGTTTTGTACCAAATCAGCTAACTATAAACCATTATATGCCAGGGCAAGGTAATATTATTGATTTTTATTAATATTTAACATTATTAGTGAATAAATTTAGGTATTCCTCACCATATAGACACTCATAGTGCCTTTGAAGACCCAATCATGTCTCTATCATTAAACAGTTCTGTAATAATGGATTTTAAGTGCGATAAAAAACATTTTTGCGTGTTTCTACCGCGCAGATCTCTCGCTATAATGTCGGGAGAAGCTCGCTATAACTGGACGCACGGTATAACACCGCGAAAATTCGACGTAATAAAATCGCAAATTGGTTTTAACACTCTCCAGAGAGAAACACGCGTTTCTTTCACGTTCAGGCGGGTTCTACAGGGCAATTGTACGTGTCGGTATCCGTTTAAATGCGATTCTTACGCTAAAAACAACGAGGATAAGTGTATAGAAGAAAAAGTCGCAGCCGATTTGGAAAAAACTCATGTACACGATGTTTATGAGAACATAGCGAATCATTTTAGCGATACCAGACACAAACCATGGCCAAACGTGCTGGAATTTGTCCAAGGTTTTCAGCTAGGATCTCTTTTAGTTGATGTAGGATGCGGGAATGGCAAATATTTAGGGCATAACAAAAATATATACGAGGTAAAAACTATGGAATATTTATATTACCAATTCTCTTAAAGAATTTCTCTAGAATAAACAAACATAAGTGCATAATAGCCATGTGCTCAGTATGTTATTGATCAATCGACAAAGCCACACTTTTTATCGCCAATTGACCAAAAGCATGTACTCTTCGCGTGCATTTGTTGTTCTAGGGAATTGGAAAAATGAATATAGGTACTATGGTACCTTAACAATATTGTTAAGGTACCATAGTACCTATATTCATTTTTCCCTAGAACAACAAATATATTATATAATATATCCAAAAGTATTAATGTTACAATATTAAAATTTGGACATATTATACAGCTCAACTATTTTAATAATTATTTAAAATTACAAACTATTACAATAATGATTTCTGAGATACACTCAATAATGGCAAAATATTCGATCCACACAAATTTTCGATGAATTTCAATCGCAAATAACTTTTTTATTTGATGTCAGATTTAAACGAGAATATTGTAGATAAATTAATGGAGAATCGCTCTCTTGCTTACTTGGACCTGTCGTACGTCCTCCATTACTCTTCGGTCACGTAAAACATTAAGTCGAATAAAAGTAATAAGACCCCTCAAAAGTAACACATTCATTTACAAAAAACAATTTTATAGCTTTTAAAAGCCGCATATGACATGTCCAAGTATGGGATGATTCAACAAAACTGTCTGTCATCCTCCATACTATGGAGTCTATAGGCTTTGGATGGACAATAGCAACCTTAGTTCTTCATACAGAAAAAATATTGGAAATTGCAATGTTTTTTAAAAAATTCCATATTTTCCACAAAAATAAATATATCGAGGTGAACTAAAAACAAAACTGTTAAGAATAGATGTGACTTGATAATTAAAACCTAATTTAGAACAATATACGGTTTTGCCACTCTACAGAGTGTCTTAAACTTATGGTAAAAAACATATTTTTGTTTAAATCTGTATATTATAAACGTACGTCTACTTTTTAGTAAATTTTGAATATGTGAGCGATTCTCCATTAATTTATCTGCAATATTCTTTAATATTTGTTAAAATCCCATATCAAATAAAAAAGTTATTTGCGGTTGAAATTCATCGAAAATTTGTGTAGATCGATTATTTTTCCTGTGAGTGTAGTATGATTTTTTAGATGGGTTGTGATACAAGTTTAGGTTTGCTAGAAGTCTGTAAAAACAGAAACTTCAACATTTTTAACGCAAATTGTTTGAATATACCCTTAAAAAATAACATAGCAGATGCCTGTATAAGTATAGCAGTCATACATCATCTGGCTAATGATGTAAGTTTATAAAAACAACTTGTGAGATAAAATAAATTAATTAAATTTCTTAGGAGAGAAGATTAATGGCTTTAAAAGAAATGGCGAGGGTTTTAACTGTTGGTGGTAGATGTTTGATATATGTATGGGCTAAGGATCAAAAAAAGGACAATGAAAAATCAAGTTATATCAAACAGGACAGAAAAAATCGTAAAGCGGAAAATATTGAAATTAATAAAAACGAAGAGGAAATAACAATTTCTGAAAATATTAAACTTCCTGTTCATACAAATAGAACCCAATTCAAACACAAAGATGTATTGGTTCCGTGGAAATTAAAAAGTACAGAGGAAAACAAGCAGACTTTTTTGAGGTTCTATCACGTTTTTGAAGAGTTTGAACTCGAAAAATTGTGTAATAAACTTGGTAATATAAAAATTGTAAAAAGTTACTACGACCAAGGCAATTGGTGTGTTATTTTCGAGAAAATAAAATGAAATAAAACAAGAACTCGCTTTTTATTAAACGTGATTGCCATAAACAATAATAAGCTGAATAGTTTAAGGTAGATGGCAGCAAATACTTAAATAAATTGTGATATTTTGTTAAACTGATTGTATTTTTGAATACGGCGATTTTTTAAGGGACAAAAATTAAATTACTGCGGATTTTCGTCTTTAGGGCCCAACAGAACATTCCCACAAAGTTTAAGCAAAATCTAAAAAAGAGCAGCAATATTTTTTTGATGATTTCGTTTGAAATGACTTGTTAATAAAGTAAAAGACAAAGCTTAAATAAAACGAATGTTGTCTTGCAAAACCGAGCATAACCGGGAAGTAGTTAAAAGGCCAACAACCGCTAGCGCATCTATACGGTCAAGAATCGAATTTTATGCGCAACGAAAAACATTATTTTTCTGTGAACATCACGGGGTTATTTATTAGGTGTAATTACTTTCGTTTTTACAGATGTGGGTCCGTTGACGTAACGTTAGGTAAAATTGTTGAGATGCGCCCCGCAATGTTTTCCAACAATTTCACGCCAAGATTTATGGCCGTCCGGACTTCTGACATTTACAGTGATGTTGCTTACTGGTCACGCTCTTTTATTGTGCAATATTTCGACAATTTACTTTTCGGTAAACATTGTAAATGATTCATAAGCCTACTTAAAAGGGGATTAAGTTTATTATTACGCTAGCTTTCTGGAAAAAGCTAAAAGTTAGTTTGAGGATTAAAATCTTCATGTAATAGTTATTTGTTTTGCAAGACTTAGTGTTGAAAAACGACTTTTTCATGCGAGTGTTTAAGTTGCTCACGAGGCCGTTAGACCGAGTGTGTATTAACACGAGCTTAAAGAAAGCTTTTCTCACAAGTGAAATACAATGTTTTTTCTACGACCCTATTTTCAAATACTAAACAAAATAGCCTAAAAACGTGTTTGACAGCTGTTAAAATTACGATGCTGTCAATTTCTTTTTACACAGACCTGTCACTTTGCACACAGACCTGTCACTTTTCACACAGAAATGTCATTTTACATTCGAGTTTTGCCTTGCCAATAAAAAGATTCATTTTCTAAGCAACGATGCCATTACGAAATGTGACTTTTACATAGCGGTTGTAGAAAAAAAAAATCTTTAAGAAAATCTCCGGTTTACCTATGTATTAGAAAAAAGTATTTATTCTTAAAATTAAAAGGGTTATTTTTCAATAAAATTCAAATTTGATAATAATTTATCAACTAAAAACTCAGGTAATAATTCCAAATTGCATATTTGTCATAAAATTGATGTTTTATTGTTGTTTTTTCAAATAATATAAAGTATTGGACAGCATCCGTCAACCCTTTTACAAGATGCCATAAAGAAAAGGGAAAGTGCGTGACCCTTTATAAATTTCGGTCAGAAATTCTACCTGGTCGAATTTATTCTACCGAATAAACAAAATTCAAATATTTTACTACATTTCAATAATACATATAACAGTTTAATTTATATGGAAGGGCTTAAAATAAAAATTGCCTATCGTTTAGTGTTTTTTGGTATTTTCCAGATGGTTCGATGTATTCATCGTTGGTCGTTGGTATTTGGCGAGAGACCCTGACCTCTCGCTTAAAATTAATAATGTTTTCGCGATTTTACCGTTTCTTCGTTTGTTTGTCGTCTCAACTACACCCACTGACATTATTCATTGTTTGACAATTACTTTAAGTATTACTGCATTGCCAGAATTAGTTTGTTTATTGTTTACCAATGTAATCCATACGTAATACACCTAAAAGAATATTGTTTGACAGTCTGTAGTTTTGTTATTACCTACCCAATTTGAAAAATAATAACTTCAAAAGTAAGGTAATTTTAGTTCTCTTAAAATTAAGCCAACTTTGACGGTCTGTAGTTTTGTTATTTTTTACCCAATTTAAAAAATAATTGATTCAGATGTTAGGTAATTTTATTCACCTTAAGAAAATGTAAATATCTTAATAGGCCCAGTCCTGATTTTTCAAGATTATCCCCAGTCGTGCCAATTTAAGTTCTCTTAAAATTAAGACCAACTTTGACGGTCTGTTTTGTTATTTTTTACCCAATTTGAAAAATAATTTCTTCAAATGCCCCAGTCTTGATTTTTAAGATTATCCCCAAATATAAAGTAGTGCCAATATTATTTCTCTTAAAATTAAGACCAACTTCGACGGTCTGTAGTTTTAATATTTTTTACCCAATTTGAAAAATTATTACTTTAAATGTTAGGTAATTTGATCCACTTTGAGAAAATGTAAATATCTTAATAGGCCTCAGTCCTGATTTTTTAAGATTATCCCCAAATATAATGTCGTGCCAATTTTAGTTCTCTTAAAATTCAGCCAACTTTGACGGTCTGTAGTTTTGTTTTTTTACCCAATTTAAAAAATAATTCCTTCAAATGCTCCAGTCCTGATTTTTCAAGATTATCCCCAAATATAAAGTCGTGCCAATTTTAGTTCTCTTAAAATTAAGTCAACTTTGACGGTCTGTAGTTTTATTATTTTTTACCCAATTTAAAAAATAATTGCTTCAAATGTTAGGTAATTTTATTCACCTTAAGAAAATGTAAATATCTTAATAGGCCCAGTCCTGATTTTTCAAGCGCCAATTTTAGTTCTCTTAAAATTAAGACCAACTTTGACGGTCTGTAGTTTTGTTATTATTTACCCAATTTGAAAAATAATTACTTCAAATGTTAGGTCATTTAATCCACTTTAAGAAAATGTAAATATCTTAATAGGGGCCAGTCCTGATTTTTTAAGATTATCCCCAAATATAAAGTCGTGCCAATTTTAATTCTCTTAAAATTCAGCTTTTACGATCTGTAGTTTTATTATTTACCCAAATTAAAAAATAATTACTTTAAATGTTAGGTAATTTAATCCATTTTAAGAAAATGTAAATGTCAATATAATTTCATCCCCTTTTCACCTTTGAGAAAACGTAAATATCTTGCCCCAGTACTACCTAATTGTTAGAGATATAAAGTCCTGTCAATTTACGTTTTCTTAAAAAGACAAATTTTGTTATTTTGGGCCAATTTTAAAAATAATTATTTCAAATGGCAGATTATTTTATCCGTTCTTGGACAATGTAAATAATTTTATGTTGACAAAACTATATATTTTATACATCATCTCTAAAAAACAGTACTGAGGCATATTATAATACAAGATTAAGAATATGTATCAGTACTACTTTTTAGAGATAATATAAAATATATATTATTTTCAATTTTAACATAAAATTATTTAAACTTCTAAGGTAAGATTCTATAATAACAAAAAATACAAATTTCCAATGTTAGTTAACAAGCAAAAATGACTATATGATAAATTACGAAATGTTCCAATTAGGTATTTCTCTACGGCCAAAATTAGTATGTTTCGTTGTTTACCAATACATGTTATACTTTAACCTATTCATTTAAAGAGGACTTCAGGTAGACAGAAAAAAATGCCACTTGTGTGCACATAACATGAAATGAAATTAAATAGTTTGGTACCTGAATCTTCCGGTGCATTATTTGTGTTTGAAATTTTATTGATCTATAGATTTGGTTCCCATGGAATGCATCCGATCGATTGATATTCAAGACGAGACGGGAGTTTTATTTCAAATATGGACAATTTTCTTTGCTATATCTTTTCCCATCAATTATATTAGGTATAAAGATAAAAATATAATTGATGTGGTTTGCAGGTTGTATAGGTGATGGCCATTTTTAGCCTTTTAACTTTTATAGGCAACAATAAGTAAGTGGAAACAATTACGATTAATAATATTATGTCGAACGAGTCGTTCCTATGAATATCAATTGATTGCTTCGCATGAAAAACTCGCTCATTTACCAAACAAGTTTACTTATATTTTAATTATTAATTCTTTTATTATTTCTACTGATTACCTACATCGATGGATCTACTCTCTGTAGATTCCCTGTAAAGGAGTTGTTATCCGTGCAAAATTGTATATATTGTTGTGCTTGGCATTCGCATTAGAAAAAGCTAATTAAAGAGCTTGTTAAAAAAGCACCATTAGCCATATGTTCCATGCACGGGATAAATGCTTTAACTCTAGCTTAGCTAGCGTTGCCGTGCTACCAAAGGTTCTTGCTCTCGCCATGCTAAAACATGACAATTAGTAACGCTATAAGCTTCAAACTACCTTCAACGTTTTACGAAAATTAGATACTCTTTTTTGTTCCAAATTATTCCTAAATAATTTTACGAATCAGTTCCTTGCTTTTTTTACAATTAGTGCATTTTTAAGCATGAAATGTGGCTTAAATTTTGTTAATAAATATGTTTGATAAGCTAAATGTAAAGCTAATATTACAACTAGGGATTGCAATTGCTGGATCCCTCATCCAGCAATCCAGCTGGGTCCAGCGCATTTTTCAGCCTGCTGGATCCGCAAATAATTAACTTTGGCGCAAAAGTCTGCGTTGACAGCGTTGACTAAATTTTAATTTATTTATAAACATTACATACAGTAGTTACATTGGAACAGAAAAAAAAACAAGTTTAATGTTCTACAAATATTTAATTATGGGGTTTAAAAGAGGATAAATGTACTAAAAATTTAAATATACGAAATAGTGAAATATTTTTCTTCATTAAAGTTTTTCAGTCCTGTAAAAATAATATTTATTATTTATTTATTTATGTATTTATTAAGGTATACATATTACTAATAGTAATTTTCATAATCAGTTTTTTAACTAATTTATCAAAAAAACAGAGAGTTTAAAAATGAACAAAACGTGAAAATAGGTAAAATTAATATTTTAAATTAAAAAAAATATAAATAAAAAATTTTAGTTATCAATATTAATAAATTAAATTAATTGATTTAATTGCTGTCGAATTAAAATTGTATTTTATTTATTTTTTATTTTCTATAAAATGGTTCATATTTTAGTTTTTTTTATGAAAATAAAAATAATAATAAAAGTTTTAAGTTTAAAAAGTATTATTTTTTTTTATATATTTCTTTAAAAAAATTATAAATTGCTGGATCCAGCTGGATTAATGTTGATCCAGCAAAAATCCAGCTGGATTAAAAACCTTGCTAGATAAAAGTATAAATAGGTTTTGACTTGCTTAAATATGCTAATCAAAATGGGGTTTGGAGGGATTTATCTTGTTTTGAAAGCATGCGAATAATTTTGCGTTTGTTACGAATAACACACATTTACCTACGCATTGCACTTGGTAATGTAATGAATAAGTTGCAGAATATAAAATAGCATGGCAGAGCTGAGCAGAGCAGGGCAAAACAGAAACGGTTAATTCTGCTGGCTGTGTAACCTTGTGACGTTGCAGCCTACAACGAAGAATGTCTTAAAGGCACGCCGACGACTGCCCCTGCTGCTGCTGCAAAAACGAAATTAAAATTTGAATAAAAGTAACTCTTCTTCTCTTCGCGTAACTGTTCTCCAATTCTTCTTTTATGTTACTTTCTGATTGCCGTTATACCCGAAATAATGAATTGTTCTAAACTGATAATTGATATAGAAAAAACATTTTATTTATTTACGACAACGTAAAAAGTGTCATGCTATTTTACGAAGACTACTTTTTCTTAGTATGTATGAAAAATTGTTAATACTAAGAGTTATTGCAAATAATATTGTAAATTGCATATAATAATATTGTTGCTGCATTATTTAAGATTTTGCTTAAACTTTGTGGGAATTTTCTTTAGTGTCTCAAAAACAGAAATCCGCGGTGAATTAATTTAACCACAGGTCTGTGAATTTAACTCTTTTGTTACTTTCTGAATGCCGTTATCCAAAAACTTATGAATTAGTTGCTCCAGTATGCTAATTGATATCGAAAACAACAACTTGGAAGGAAAAAACACGTTAACAACGTACATTGTCGATTGTTGGGCCAAATACAAAGAGCCGTTACGTGCTAAATAATGTAAATTGTCACTTCCAATACTTACTTATAATATGATTAAACCTTTTAGTATTCTTTTACGCCGTGACCCATTTTCAAGTTACGTAGAAGACCAACGACTTTAAGTGTTTTCCACCTACATACAATGAAAATACTTTTATTTTAACTCATCCAACATTTGGGACGGGTGATTCAGTTTTCTTGTTTTTAAGATTATTACGCCTTTCGTGGAATTTTTTTAGTTATGGCATAAATTAAAATAATAGTCATAAAAGCATTTTTGAGGTCGATATTGATGGAACCACTGGCAATTCGAATAAATAATAACAGTTATACAGATAGTAAAATGATTTCGCGTATAGCTGTTTTATAAAACCGAAACGCAGTTCTCCTTATTTTTATCGGCCATCTTCTGTATGCATACACTTTCAATGCTACATTCACTTCTCCAAATATAATAACAATAATATTATTAGTTTTATCATAATTACTGAGCATTTTTCTGACATTACGTTACCATAAAAAAAGTTGCCGAAAAATTGATACCCATTAAAGAAATACTTTGTTTAGGTATTAGGTGGTTGTCCTTGATGACCGGTTTACAGTTTGTTGTGTTTAATTATAAAGTTTTTAACGGTCAAAATCTATTTGTTTAAGAGACGGTTCAAAAATGGAAATTGGTTTCACTTTAAAGTGCCGATCCCTTACGGTTCTTATTTTCACTTGCAAAACCCAAATAAGTGATCTCTGTGTTGTTGTGGTACCAAACCAAAATTATTACATGGTATCCATGAGATTTTATATAAAAAACAATCCTTTACCACATGCTTTCCATCTGGCGTTCTATTAATATAATAGATCTTAACAGTTGCAGAGGGTCTATATTAAATAAACTGGATTTAACGAGACAGCGCTAATGGTACTAATTTTACAAAAAGTATTTACTCTAGCTAGGTTAATTGGTGAGTGTCTAATTGGTTTTTTTTATTGCGTAGACTGTCTCCTGAAAGTAACGGGTGCAACCAATTATTGGCAATTCGATAAGCGAAATAAAAATGTTTTTTTGGGTTTCCTTTTAGAGAAGTTGTTTGGGCCGAAAAGGCGGTAGAAATTAGGCCACTGGAAACAAGTATGCATAGCGTGTTCCTCGACTTTGGCGATTTTAAACACCGCTTCGTTGCTGCCAAGGCTCGTGTATCTCTTAGGTGACTCAGAGTCGTTGACCCTCTCTTTTCTTCTTCTGCTGTTCTTAGTCAAGGTCTTTAGGTGAGATCACCACCACGCCAAATATTACAGTATTATTTCCAAATAATTAAATTGGACGTGAGGCAGCGAAATCGAAATTACAAAAGAGCAATCTTCTTTCTCTCGAGAGTTATTGTAGGCGTACATACGAGCGAGTTAAGAAGGGTTGAACCGTGATGGGCATTCAGCTGCCATCATTGAGGGTGTGGGAAAATCACACAGGTGGTACTAAGCGAAGATTCTCTGGGAATTGGTCCTTTTTGGTACCTACCACTTCGATATTCCATGCATTAAACACACAGGAAGCATATGCTTACTAAAAAACAACTGTAGCGCCTCTAAGTACTGAAATCAGATATTGCCTGAGAAAATTTCCAAAAAGTAACATAGCATAAAAATTGTAATTTAAATAAGAAAAAACTTACGAAAAAATTCCAATGATATCATTTCCAGTTCAAAGTCGAGGCCAATAAACTTTTAAAACAATATAAATTTACATAACACGTTCAAAACACAATTTGAATTTAAAATTAATTTTCGGATTGTGATTTAAAATTTCGCCACATTCCCATGCTTAAATGTTTTCGACTCGCTCACAAATTTTAAATAAAAATGTTGTTTAATAATTAAGATTTATAGTCGCTACAACCGAGTGGCTTGCCTAATCGAAAATCAACGATAAATTCTATGTTTACTGGTCATCGAACTTTTTCTTATATTCATAGGATTTTCGAGGAAAAATCTTACTTATTAAAAAGAAAAAGTCTTACTTATTAATAAATATATTTTTAAATTAAATTTCTTGTAGAAAATTTAAATTAGGAAATAGTTTTGAGTCACTCTGTATAATATTTAACTTAATTATTTTATGTATAAAGAGGTGCACATCAAATTTCCACAAGCGTAAATATTTTACAACTGGCAACATTTGTCTAAATCTGAAAACGGACTATAAATTGACGTCATAAGGGGGCATCCATTAATTACGTGAGGCAATTTTGGCGATTTTTCGACCCCCAATCCCCTTGGTGAGATGTCGTGAGATTTTGCTCGACCCCCTCCCCCTCCCTTAATTTCACGTGAGATTTTTTTAAATGCATAGTTTTAATATAAATAAGTTAATCTGTGCTTGATTCCATTAGATTTATTAAAAAAAAAACAATTTGCTTATAATTTTTTACTTAATTTAACCCAGTTTTCTCGAAATTTTACAGTTTCTTTCGGGAAAAAATTTACGTGATATTTGCCGAGACCACCCTCCCCCACACGTGAGATTGGGTGAGGTTTGAGTCGACCCCCTCCCCCTTAAACACCTCACGTAATTAATGGATGCCCCCTAACTGATTGACCGTAAAAGCAGAGATTTTCAAATTAGAATGAATTTTAAATTAACTAATTATTATTTTTAACGTTTTTTTTAATATGCCAAACCCCAATTTTATTAAAGGACCACAATTATTTTATTAAATATAAAAATGTAAAAAGCAAACCTTAAATATTTATTCTAACATAATGTTTCTCGTTAGGTATTTCCTCAATTTACAAGTAAAACAGCAAATATGTATCTTATACATACATAGTTCGTTTAGGATTTAGGATTTCTTGTTGGTTTGTTTTCATAGTTACGGTCAAGGCTGAACCGGTGCGCAGTGTCGCAATATGTAATAATAAGAAAGAATAATAACGATAATAGTATCAAGGAAGTAATTCAAGCAAAGTGGTTTTTTCGTTTTAACCTGGAATTGGGTCAGAGCGAAAAACCAACCGTGACTCCATACATATCTTTACCATTTGAATTACTTCTTTAATTTCCTACCAATTAAATTTTGTGTGTTGTCAATTAGAGCCTACGTTACGTAGGCTACATAATACTTAAAATATGGAAAAAAACTTTAAATTAGCATTTTATTAAAAAACATCGATAACCCATAATATTATACGTATGTATGTGGATACCGTTAGCAAATTTGGTGACGAATTATTTAACAATATGATTAATTATTTTATTGTTAACGACACCTGTATGAATTATAAAGCGTTTCCGGTTTAAATGGGTTACCGGAAATATTGACGACCAAATCGGAAATCACATAGGGGAACACAAAAAGTTACCAGATCTTTTGAAGGAATATCTCATGATGAATTACATTTTCCCAAAACGCAAAAATACGGATTGTACAAATCATTTAAAGGTGGTCAAATAGTGTATAAAGATTTGCTTCGTTCCAGTCGTCCATGAACGGCTTAATCAATCATAACCAGTAATAAAAACTCGTCACACCTCTTTTTTTGACAAAAACTTTTCTCAAACTTTTGGCTCGTTTTTCGTCTTTCCCTGTGTTATGAAGCAAGCAACAATGTACCAAGTGTTAAATAACTAAAAGTAAGTTCGCAGAGAAGAAGAAGAAGAAGAAGGAACTTAGTCGATGTCGGCGATGAGGGGGCCGGAAGGGGGGCAACATTGCATTGCAAGAAGTGACGGCCATGGCCAAGTGTAAGAATCAACGACCTCTGATTGCCTACTGAACCAAACCCGTTCTGTTCGTGAGTCGAGTCGGCAAGACTTGAGCAATGCACGATTGTTTCGCAAAATTATGATTTTTTTTAGTTTTTCGAGCATTTTGATGTTTAAATTCAAAACCAGATAAGTCACACATTAGATGGTCGTAATTATAGCTTGTCATTTTGCTTGCTTTTCAAATAACTGTTTAAAAGAATGCTGATTTCAAATAGCTTTTGAAGGTTTTTATTTTGTGAACGACATATTTTACGCGATTTTTGGCTTTATTTAAAATGGTAAGAAGTCCAAACTTAATAACAGATATTACAGTTTCTTCATCTGTATTGGTTTCTTTGCAATCGCTCTCTTTTTCATCTAAATCCCTTAAAATACTTTCGAAACCAATGGCAGTTACCCTATGATGTGGACATATAGGTTTAGACTTGACGTTCTCCTACAAAACAATTTATTTTTCCAATACCTTAATGAATATTACAAAAGAAACATACCTCTTCATCGCAAAAGAGTTCTTCATCAAACATTTTCAACGGCAAATTTCATCGACTTGTTAACCAAAATTTCAGCACTGTCAAGTAATAATGTCAAAGTGTCAAAATTCCTAGTTGTTACAAAAACCATTGATGGCAAGAACATATGATGGAAATGTTGTTTTATGGAATCAAATAAGAAATCAGCTGCTAAAAACCGACACAAAAAGAGCACGGACGAGGCAGCTTGCAATGCGGATCAACGACGCCAAGAACACAGCACGAAAGAATGCGTGGACGACTGTCAACCATTAAATTGTTCCTGCAAGGACGACAGTTCCTGCCGTGGAACATCTACGTCCACGAATAATGCTGCTGTTAACGTTGATGGCTGCAGCAAGGACTACGCGGGGAAGTTAAGAGTCGTCCTGGGGGCAGATCCCGCAGATATCATCATAGAAACTGCTGAGAGGGTTCTACAATATTTGGATAAGAGAAGAGATAGACTGGATTCGTCTAAAGATGCCAAGAATAAGTGTTTTTGTTGGAAGAGCGATTTTGGTACGGTGCACAGAGTGTGGTATTTTGATTTAATCTGTTTATTACAGAGAGTTCCAGTCCGTCAGTAGAGATAATCAAAAGTAGATCAATTATAGTGCTGTCATCATCCACCCAGGTAAACCATAAAAGAAATAAACATGATAATGAAGTCAAGAACAAACCAATCAAAAACAATTCATTCAGAAAAGAAGAAAGAAAAAACTACCAAACCAGCGATACAGAATATAACGCTGTTGATGACAAGAACAAAAAAATCAAAAACAAACATTCATTTAGAAAAGAAGAAAGACAAAACTACCAAACCAGCGATACGGAGTATAACGCTGGACCCAGTAAACAGAGTAGTTATAATTTCCCAAAAGAATCATCGCACAGAAATTTTATTCCGAAAGCTGAGAGTAATTATTATCCAGCCACAGATGATAGCAAAAAAGATCTCTGCGAACAGGCTTGTATAGGTTGGTCCGACGAACAACATAAGTGCAACAAAGAATGGTGCAATGAGTGCCACAAAGATGAGGACTCACCAACAAGCTCAAAAAAATACAACGACGGGGTATCACACACAAAGGTTTTTCATCACGAAACTATAATAAAAGAGGATCCTTTTTGTGTTAATCGTTTGTGTGCTAATAGCAGTAGTGAATGTAAAAAACTATCTAATAAACCTGTACAACCGCCCTCTTACACATATAACAATATGGTAAAGAATCAATTAACCTCTGATGTCTGCAAGAGGTATTGTGTAAATAAAACTAGTAAGGCTCAAAAAGATAGTAATAAACATATAGGTATAAATTTGTTGCAACATTGGTTGCAACATTCTAAAGAAGATTTAAGAAGTCATACTAAACAAAGTGCCCATGATCCCCACACAAGTGATAAGGAGAGATATTATAGTAGATTGGCTCCTAATGATTCTGAAAGATATTCAAACAAGAATTTGTTTAGGAAAAAATCTAGTCATTCCCCGTTTGATAGGGACAGATCTATGTATGCTAACCCGAGACATGATTATTCTAAAAAAAATCTTGAAAGAGACAAATCTAAACATTCCAACTTAAGAAATGATGATAACGTGGATAAACATTCTTTGTACAATTATAATTTTTCAAAACACGATCTCGATAAGCCCAGGCAACCCGACATGCATCAAAGTCACCATAGCACACCTCAGCAACCAGAGGTGTACCATAGTAATTCCAACATGAATATTGACAAAAATTCAAAACCGCATAATTTTTCTAAAAAACATAGTCATCAAAGAGATATAAATGAAGATAAATATAAACATAGTAATAAATCTTCGAAAAAGAGTTTTGACAAAAAGAAATCGTCTTCATATAAGGTTGATGAATCCGGAGCTACTTCCAAAAACGAATCTTCACACAATAAAGATTCCTCTGGATCAACTA